GGCTGTGCCAAGAAATATAGTAGACTCCAATAGCTCCTTTGGGCATTGATACAAAAGGCCAGGAATAATTTGATGAGAAAGAAAAGTACATATGCTTTAACACACCAAACAAACAAAGAGGAAATAACATATGAGCAGAAACAAGATAGGTCATCCTCCAGGCTCTGTTCTAGAAGAAAACAAAACTGAACTGGATACTGAAGAAGGAAGAATATCAAAGGAAGGACATTGCTACAAAACTTATTCATTTTCATATTGCAATACTTTGTTTATATATCAACATAAAGTGCTGAATGAATCCAGACAAGAATGTTTTAACAGGCGTATCCTAGATTATGATGATCTAGTAATATAATCTGAGGTATTAAAGGCAATATTTATAAAAAAATTATAGCCTATTTTATTGAATAAACAAGACAATCATTCCTACATAAACTGTTGCTTAATTCCTTCAAAACATCATCAAATCACTGGCATTACTTAGTCAAATAATGAAATGCCTGCAAGCAAACAACCAAACGCAGAGAACACCAAGGACTTCACAGTTTTGACCCTGAGCTACAGATAGCCTTTTCTATTAGAATGCCCTTCAAGCCACAGATTATGTTAAAGATCCTGTACGATTATGAAATGTGCTTTTTTTGTGCTGCTGTTTTTCTCTTTAAAAATCTGTCATTTTCTATGAAATAATTGGCACTGACAGACAAAACCAATGCCATATAGCTAACAGTCAAAATAGAGAATGATTTACATACACTCGGGGAACTTGTTTTCTGATTATAGCATGAATGGGCTTTTCAGCATAAATTTGCCTAGAGTGGAATGAAAGATTTGGCACAAATTAACCTTAGCATTCTTTACTAGCTAGAAATGGACTCTTAATAGATAGCAATAGCACTTAGACTTATATACTGCTTCACAGTGCTTTACAGCCCTCTTATAGAGTCACCATATTGCCCCCAACAATCTGGGTCCTCATTTTGCCGAGCTCGGAAAGATGGAAGGCTGAGTCAACCTTGAGCCGTTCAGAATTGAACTCCTGGAATGAGTAGTGAGTTAGCCTGCAGTACTGCCTTCTAACCACTGTGCTCCCATGGCTCTTGTAGATAGTCTACTCTACTACATTACAAGGCTGCTGCAAAAAGCAGCATTCATCAGTTAATTTTAGACCTAATACACATTATATTAAACATGGACTACCATTAAGAGCACATGAAGAATTCTACCGGAAAATTTTCATTTGTTGAATAATAGTTTTTATTACTTTTTAAAAGACTTAAAAAGCATATGTGCTCTGCTACTAGAGGTCTTGTGACATGGATGTCAAGACCAAAGTAAATTAAACACAACCCCTCCCTTTAAAAAAAACATGGGGAGCAGCATAGAACTGGCTATGTAGTATTTTGGGCCCAATGGATATATTTAGACCCCCTTGTTAAATATTCCTTGGCATTCCCATATCTGGCACATGAATAAATCAACCCCCTCTCAAGTACCAGAAGACAACTATCATGTCACCCTTAATCCTTCCCTTTGTTAAGCTAGACCTATTTAATACCCTTAACTGTTTATCATGTTTTAACTTCCATACCCCTTATATTGTTTCTCTTTGCACTCTTTCTAGGGCCTCAGTATCTTTTTTGTATCTCAGTGACTAGAACTGGGTGCAGAATTCCAAATACGGCCCTACTAGTTGTGGTATAAACAGGTACCATTACTTCTTGTGATCCTGATGCTATCCCTCTGTTGATGCATCCTAGGACTGCGTGGTTTTTTTTTGGCAGTTTCAGCACATTGTTGGCTCATATCTAAGTGGTGGTTGACTAGGATACCTAGACCCCTCTCTCACAGTTACTGCTGGTGAGCCAGGTACTGCCTAGTCTGTCCCTGTGCATTTGTTTTTCCTACTAAGTGCAGGACCTTACTTTCCTCACCACTGAACTGTGTTTTGTTGGCTAAGGTCCAATGCTCAAATCTTCAAGATCCTTCTGAATCTTGAGCCTATCTTTCAAAGTGTTAGCACTTCTCCCCAGTTTGGTGTCATCTGCAAATCTGATGTAGTCTTACAATAAAGTAGAGTTAGTTCGTCAGGTTGTGTTTCCTGTCTTGTCAGGAAAGGCTGGGAAGGCTGACAAGGAAGAACAGTACATGGTCACAATGGAACCAATGAATAATATTGATTGGACTTTGTGAACAACCCTTTAGTAAGACGGTCCTTAAAATGTATGCTTCAACTTTTCATACAGAAGAAGAAGCAACTAATGAGGTTTATGATCAAGTTCAATTTAAAGTCAACATGCAAGTAAGATGTGCTACCTGTGATTGAGGACTTTGGCATTCTAAAGTTGGAAATATTAAAAAGGAAAATGTGCTTGGATTACACATCTTAAGAAGCCAAAACGAAGCAGGAGAATCACTTATCCATTGCTGCTACTCCAATGTTTTCTTCATAGCTATCATTGTCTTTCAACAACCAAAATGATGCCCGTTTATATGGACATCAATAGTTGGAGTACAACTGAATGCATTATTATTTAAAAAAGGTAGAGGAGCTTAGTTATCACAACAAAGATGTGGCCAGGGGCTAACTGTAAAACAGATCATGAACTGCTACAGCAGCAGGAGAAGGACAACCAGTTTCAACAACATACCCACCATTTTCAAAAACATCAGGAATCACTTTGAAGTCCTGAATCTCATTGAGCAACACTAGAAGAACACTCTGGAATGAAGTTAAAATAAGTTCTGTTAAGAAGGAATGTGAGATCAGATTGTCAAGGATTAAGAAACAGAAGATAGCAATCTGGATGTCAGAACAAATAGTGGCAATGCCAAGAAGAGACAAGAACCCAATGCTGTGAAAGATAAAGCTTTCAGGAAGAAACTCAACAAAGAATTTCTGAGAAATGTTCAAAGAGACAACAAGCAAGACTACAACAGTATCTGTAAGGACACGGGAAGAAATAGATACAAAAAAACAGTCACAGAAAAAGCTGGATTGGAAGAAGATGAATAGTGTTTTGAAACTGAAGGAAGAAACATCAGTAACCTGAACTGTGTTGACATTATTCTGATAGCTGAATATGCAAAACATCTGCAAACTCTAGTGAAAAACGTCAAGGAGCACGGTGAAAAATAGAAGTCAAACCAAATATAAAGCTGACCAAACTAATGAGAACAACCTATTATACTTTGAAGAAACAGGATAGAAAGAAGGTTGATATTTTGAACAAATTATTAATCCATCAATCAATCACTATAAGTAGATGGACTAAAGACAACTATTTCAAAGGATATTTGTTTGTGGAGATACTGACAGATAGGTGGGGGGTTTTTTTTGAAATTCCAAGTGCATCAAAATACATACATTGCAAAAAAATTATGAAAACCCAGGAATACATCACCATTGATATAGCTATAATTAAAATACTTTCCATTGAAAGCCATATCATTAACTCCTAAGGCCAGTTAGAAGACATTGAGGTTTCATAGACTCTCTGAATGTCAAAAGGAAGGGTCATTCCAATGTCCAGGGGAGAATCTATTCCAAAGGTAGGGAGAAAAAGACATGCTTCCATTGCCCTTTGGTGTGGACATAGTTTATTAGGATAAAATAAATATTTTAATGGGCTATATAAACAACAAGGAACAATACTTCCTGGGAGAAGTTGATTGTAAAATTATGCACATTAGAAAAATGCATACGAAAATATGTACAAATTGTTATGCCAACCTTTGAAAAATAATGAACTGATACCATAATGAGGTGAAATGGGAAAGGCAAAATGGGAGACATTGAAATTAACATGTTTGTATATCCCTCAGGACATAAAGAGAAATAAATTATTTGATTGAATATCTCTACGGCCCATTTGACTCTTATATTATATTTGCAGTGAGAAAGAGGAATGTGTTCTTCAAAATTCCAGCAGCTGCATTTTAACACAAACCAAGTAATAATCATAGTTTTTGATAGGGGAACTCTAGCATAATAATAAACTACACACTTGACATGAAGAGGTATGTTTCTAATTTAATCCTTGGCATCACTATTTAAGCAGATTGGATACAGATGTAGTAGGGAATCATCTGCCTGAGAATCTGAAGGGATACCACCCACCAAAACAAAAAAAATGCAGTGCTACCATTTAAAAAAAATGGCATTACTGGTAGAAAGTTTGGTACAGTGATGAAGTTGCTGCCCTAGAAACTAGGAGACTGTGAGTTCTAGTCCCACTTTAGGCATGAAAAGCCAGGTAACTTGGGGCCAATCACTCTTTCTCAGCCCAACTTACTTCACAGGGTTCCTTTTGTAGGAAAAAATAGGAGGAAGAAAGAGTATTACGTACATTCTCCATCTTGAGTTATTTATAAAAACATTAAAGGTGGATAAAAGGCAGATAAATAAATGAAAATGCTTGTTCTGATTTCTATGATATTAAATAGCTATTTCACATGTTCAAATTACTTCTTCACAGATATAATCTCAGCCTGAGAATAAAGTAGATCTGTTATGGCCACCTAGTAAATGAGATTTCAGCCAGTGACTTCCCAGCTCCCACTCTTAACTTTTGTGCACTCATACATAGAGTTTTCATGCATTGTGGAAATTTGATTCTATGTGCCACTATTTTAAAACAGCAACATTAGACACCCATTGCACCAAAATACAGATTGAAGCAGAAATCCAGCATTCTTGCTAAATCCGATGCTCAAATACTGTCCAATCATAGCCAAAGTATTTATATGAGAGAAGTATTAATGTCCTAATAATGCCACGTTTATCTATTTTTTTATATAAAGTAAGGAACATATGAGACAGATCTCAAACATAGAAAATATAGGTCTCCCCTAGTGCACACAGAAATCGAGGCAAATATTCCTAAATAACTTTTGTAATACATGAGTCAACTATAATTTCAGTTTTGGTGAATTGCTTATATTCCTTCATGGAAACACAGCAGAAATTAATAGCCTAGAAAAAATGCATATATACATACCGGCATTTGAGAGATAGCGCACATTTCTCATCACTCCTTCAGTGTAGGCTCCTGTCTCATAATTGTCCATCTCACCAGAGACAATGTCCGCCACTCTCGCTGCTCTCCCACGGATAGCACCAGCTGCACGGTCCAGTTCATCAGGATTGTGCTCTCTTAGGGCAATAATGCACTTGTTCACATCCTCCAGAATATGACTTTCTGTGAGAAAATGAGATCACACAAGGTGACTTAGACCAAGTTCCCTGACTAATTTCTGTGCTGCCACTGAGACAGATAAATGAAACCAATCGATCGATGTTGCAGCCAAAATTGCATATGTGAGTACAGGTCAATATATAAATAATATATTGTACCAATATAAAGGAAGTCTTTAAAGATCTACACATAAAGGTCTATAAACTCTTATGGACATTTTGCAAAGTTTTCCTTTTTTTCCCTATTTTTTTGGAGATATATGTTGGTACCTGAAGGCAGGACAAGAAGCAACGGATGGAAACTAACCAAAGAGAGAAGCAACCTAGAACTAAGGAGAAACTTCCTGACAGTTAGAACAATTAACCAGTGGAACAACCTGCCTCCAGAAGCTGTGAATGCTCCAACACTGGAAGTTTTTAAGAAGAAACTGGACAGCCTTTTGTCTGAAATGGTATAGGGTTACCTGCCTGAGCAGGGGGTTGGACTAGATGATCTCCAAGGTCCCTTCCAACTTTTATTATTATTATTATTATTATTATTATTATTATTATTATTATTATTATTATTATTATTATTATTATTATTATTATTATTATTATTATTATTATTATATTTTATAATAAAATAAATACAGTAGTTTAATATGGTATAAGCACATGCTTCAATTGTTTATTTGGTTATTATATTTTCAGCCTAATCTATCATTATTAATTTCCAACTCCTGGGAAGGTAGTTTGAAGGAAAATTACTGTTACAATAACCCCCAATAGACTTTGCATGTAAGTAAAAAGTTAAATCCTCAAGTTAGTATTATATATTTTAAGATTGGCTAAAACATGCTACAGTCAGAAAAAAAAATCTATACCAAGCCTCCACAAAGGTAATTAAAATTAGAATAATTAATCAGCAGCCCATAATCTTTTTGTAGCCTTAATTTTCTGCATTATTTGTGCTCAATCATCTCTATATAAGAGCCTCTCTTCAGACCAAATGCCAAACTTTATCCAACATGTTAATCTGTAATACAGGGATTACAGACAACTTTTCAGTTTCTCTACATAATTAAAAGTGTTCAAATAAAAATGTTCACTTCACTTCTACAAAACAATCTGACTGGCAGAATTGTGTTAAAGCTTCAATTCAGTTCTAATGGGTAGACCAGGGTTCTTCAAACTTGGCCCTTTTATGACTTCAACTCCCAGAATTCTGGCTGAGGAATTCTGGGAGTTGAAGTCCACATGTCATAAAAGGGCCAAGTTTTGAAGACCCCTGGGGTAGACACTTTCTGTGTTGGCAGACATAATCTGTGGCAAGCGGAGCAGATTCAGCCAAGAATAACTCATGCTGATAGCAAGAAAAACCCATAGCAGAGAAGGCTATGTTTCTGTAAATCATTAAAATTTCTTCATTTACTTCCTCAACACCTTTCTCATAACACTCCCCTGCAGCAGGGCAAGAATGGGTTAAAAACTAAACTATAACATCAAGGGAGAAAGCACACTCCCACGGTAGGGCAACATGAAGCCAAGAGTTCTTGCTTAATAATAATAATTATTATAATAAAGTTGGAAGGGACCTTGGAGGTGATCTAGTCGAACCTCCTGCTCAGGCAGGAAACCCCATACCAGGGGTGTCAAACTGCTGCACTCACCCCATTGCCAGCAATGGAAAAAAGTCATGATACGTTGTGACATGTCACGTGATGAGTTTGACACCCCTGCCCTATACCATTTCGGACAAATGGCTGTCCAGTCTCTTCTTTAAAAACTTCCAATGTTGGAGCATTCACAGCTTCTGGAGGCAGGTTGTTCCACTGGTTAATTGTTCTCACTGTCAGGAAGTTTCTCCTTAGTTCTAAGTTGCTTCTCTCCTTGATCAGTTTCCATCTGTTGCTTCTTGTCCTGCCGTCAGGCGCTTTGGAGAATAGCTTGACTCCCTCTTCTTTGTGGCAGCCCCTGAGATATTGGAACACGGCTATCATGTCCCCCCTTGTCCTTCTCTTCATTAAACTTGACATACGTAATTCCAGCAACCTTCACTCCAGCTTCACATAATAAAACATAGATCAGTCCTGAGATGTCTTTCATAACAATGTGTGAAGCGCAGGGATATCAGGAGATTCAGGCAGTTCAAATGAGTATAAAGATAATGTGTTTCCCTGAAAGTAAGACCTACCCTGAAAATAAGCCCTAACTTGGTTTTTGGGGGGTGGGCCTAATATAAACCCTACCCCAAAAATAAGCCCTAGTTTGGGGGTGAGGCACACACTTAAAAATCAAGTTAGGGCAGGGGTGGCAGCCAGGCCTCTCCTCGCCAGCCCATTTCTTCTCCGGCATCTTCTGCAGCCAGGCCTGCATTTCTCAGTCAGAGGCCTTTCTGGAAGGCCACTGCAGCCAAGAACCGAGCTATGGATTCAATTCATAGCTCAGTTCTGCAAGACCTCTACAGCCAAAGACCGAGCTATGGATTGAATCCATAGCTCAGTACTCGGTTGCAGGGGCCTTCTGGAAAGTCCTGACTGCAAAATGCAGGCCGGAATGCAGTTGCAGAATGATGCTGCTCTTTCAGCCACAGAAGAAGTAGACCGGCTGGGCGGGCTGTCAGAGCTGGAAGTGAGTATAAAAGACACCTCCCAAAATAAACCTCGTGCCTCTTTTGGAGACAAAAAAAATAGACCTGGTCTTATTTTTGGGGAAACACAGTATATTGCGAACTCTCTACTACAACATGGGTGTCAAACTCGCCACATCACATCATGTGTCGTGACGTATTGTGACTATTTTTTTGCATTGCCGGAGCCGGGGTGGGTGCGGCCTCTGCATGATGCAACCAGCCTGTGGGCCGGCAGTTTGACATCCCTGCTCTACGAGAATCTGACCAACTAGTGATCAAGGGAAATGAGCGGGAGATAAGAAAGGCATTCAAGATGGGCTGGATTTAGCTCTCTTGGCATGCACATGCATGGACTCATGACTTAGGATGCATTTGACACACACACCCTCCTCGGGCTCAGCCCGGTAATCTCCTACACTGTGACAAATCCTGCATCACTCTAGCTCAGTGTCTTTCAACCTTGGCAACTTTAAGACATGTGTACTTCAACTCCCAGAATTCTGAGAGTTGAAATCCATGTGTCTTAAAGTTGCAAAGGCTGAAAAACAGTGTGCTAGTTACTCTATGCCTCTGATGAAGGGAAATGCAGGTCACAAAATCTGATGCTTTCTAATAAAGTTGGCTAGTCAGAAAAGATGTTGCCAGACTTCTGATTTTTAACAACAACAACAACAACAACAAAATCCTTAACGTGAGTGCTTATTAGCAAAGAAATTTACAGAACCAAAGGACCTAGTTGATTTACGCACTTAAGCCCAGCTCTAATTAAGAAATGCATATCATAACCTCTGCTGGGTTTTAATATTACCTCAATAGAAGAAAATGAGCAAGGCATGTTGAATAAGATGATAAAACAATTGTTCAGTAATACAACAATACAGAAAAGGGCAATGCTCACAGAGATCTGGGAGTCCTAAAGTACCTTAATTATATTTTTAGAGAATTCCATACAAAAAGACAGATCTGATAAAGAGCTTCCCCACAGAAACACCATAGCAGCTTGTAAAATAGAACATAGAATATAAAACAATAGCGTTGGAAGGGACCTTGGAGGTCTTCTAGTCCAACCCTCTGCTCAGATAGGAGACCCTACACCAGAGGTCTTCAAACTTGGCCCTTTTATGACTTGTGGACTTCAACTCCCAGAATTCCTCAGCCAGCGTGCCTGGCTGAGGAATTTTGGGAGTTGAAGTCCACAAGCCATAAAAGGGCCAAGTTTGAAGACCCCTGCCCTATACCATTCCAGACAAATGGCTGCCCAGTCTCTTCCTGAAAACCTCCAATGATGGAGTATCCATCACTTTCAGAGGCAAGCCATTCCATTGATTAATTGTATTCACCATCAGGAAATTTCTCCTTACTTCTAGCTTGAATCTCTCTTTCATGATCTTCCACATGTTACTTTTTGTCTTGCCCTCAGGTGCTCTGGAGAATAAATTGACTCCCACTTCTATATGACAGCCTTTCAAGTACTGAAAGACAGCTATCACATTATCCCTAATCCTTCTCTTCAATATGCTAGATATATCCAGTTCCCTCGACCGTTCATCATACGGTTTAGCCTCCTGACGTTTAATCTTTGTTGCTCTTCTCTGCACTGTATCTAGAATTTCAACATCTTTTTTTGTATCATGGAGACCAGTAGTGGTCATGATGTCCTCACAAAGGTGATGCAAATGATGTAGAAAACTCTTTCACAATAGGATGGTCCTGCCCAGGGGAATGTTGGCAACTTGAAATTCTAGCACTTGATAGTAAGGAAACAGTTGACTAACAGGATTGAATGGAAAACGTAGCGTGCCCAGCCAAGGTGACTGCTGGCCCTTCACGATGCAGCTGGCCAATAGGTAAAAAATGGGGGGTGGGGTGGGATAGATAAGTAAAGGTGAGTTGATGAATACCTTGCAATCATAAGTATGGGCAGGATACCTAGCTCCCAGATTTTGATCACATCACCACGGGGTGCAGTAGTCATAACAACTGTTTGATCAGTGCTGTCCTACAGCTGCTCAATAATGGGATATATTCTGGAATGTGGCATTACCTCCCTCCGAGTTTAGATGTCCAGATCCTCTTAATCTCCAGGAAGGTCTTTAAAATCTGTGTGTTTCTTTCCATGTTAGGGCTAGCTTGCCACACAAGATGGAGTGTGTCCTGACTGTGTTGTTGACTAATTTATCACATTTACATAGCTGCCCATTTCACCAAAAGTAACTCTGGATCAGGGGTCTTCAAACTTGGCCCTTTTATAACTTGTGGACTTCAACTCCCAGAATTCCTCAGCCAGCATGCCTGTCTGAGGAACTCTGGGAGTTGAAGTCCACAAGTCATAAAAGGGCCACGTTTGAAGACCCCTGCTCTGGATTGTTGTGTTTTCTGCTGGGTGGGAT